AAGCTTAAAATAATTCAGAACGCAGACAGAACCTTATAATTCCAAGGTGACGATTTGTATTCTATACACCAGTTAGAGAGTTCAAAAACCAACCCACACGTCACAGTACCACTCTAGAGCTGCCTTTTCACTGCATCTGACAATCCACAACACATTCATTTCCAATGAAGAACAGCCAATTGGAGCTTTGAATTATCCAAATTTTTGCATTTAGACTATGTGTATTCCACCTGTTTACATCATAAGCAAAACGATGAGAGCAAGGTTATAATGTTAGCATTTTTTCTGTAAAATTGTTGGTATGAAATGGCATTATTGTGCCTTTTAGAAATGAGTATTGGGAGGCCATTTATTTCTTAGTAGACATATTTATTAATTATACATATATATTATATATATATATATATATATATTACAACCTACATTAACAGTCAAAGGTTTGGGGTAAGCTTGTTTTTTTTTTTTTTTTTAAAGAAGACTACTGTTCATCAAGGCGGCATTTATTAAATGTAAATATATATATTAAATATTACAATTGTAAATAACTGCTTTCTTATTAGTTGTAGTTTCAGAATAAATTGTTACTCCAGTCAATATTGCTTTTATTACCATTAACAATAATCATTAATTAATATTAGAATGATTTCTGAAGGATCATGTGAGACTGAAGACTGCAGTAATGAAGCTGAAAATCCATAATTAAAAATCACTGAAATAGGTTATTAAATTAAATCATAAGATACTTTTGAACAATTATTTAATAGAATTACAATAAAATTTCACAATTGTACAATTTGTACTGTATTTTGATGAAATAAATGCAGCCTTGGTGAGCAGGAGAAGCTTATTTTAAAATGAATAAGCCCAATCCCCAAACCATTGACCAGTTGTGTATTTTAAAATAAGGGGACAATTAGAAGTAAATGTTGGATAGAGTGGAAAGGCTGCTGAACTGTGTTATCTAGATTAAGAACATGAGAAAAGTGTTACTGCAAGAAAACAATTGATGTGATAAAGCATATATGATATGAAAGATATGATGGGGTCACAAATACAAATGTTCAAGTAAAATGCAGGTGAGGGTCCATGATGGAATCTTGAAGAAAATTTTTGCCTTTGAAGAACAGCCGTTTAGAGCTGCACAATTATTTGGTCAATAATGCTGGTTTTGTGATCAGAAGTAAACATCCAGTACATATTTTCCAATGGAGGAGCATTTACTACAGGGTTGTGTGCTGACAAGCAAAGCAATAAATTATGAAATGATGAAATCGAAGAGAATCATTCTGTGATGATGACACTTGATTTGCCATGAACTACAGCTATGTGTGGTAAATGCTGCTGCATGTGAAAAATACCACAATCAATAACATGTTTCATCATTCTGTAGGATGGTGTGGCTTCCACAGAATAGGGCAAACAACATTCATAGTAGGTCAATAGTAGGTTCTAATAGCAGTCGTTGCGTTATTGTGTGATATTAAGACATTGATTAGTCACATTGAGATTTACTACTGATCACAGACCAGTGCTACAACCATTTCAAAAACTCTCACACGGTAAAAGCAGTACCTTGGCTCTGATTGTAATAAGGCCCTCCATTCTGCTGGCTAGGTGGCATGGAAGTCTGTCCCGTGAGTGAGGGTGGTCTGCGGTACGGCAGTGAACCCCCGACTGAGGGTGCAGTCTGTCTGGGGACGGGCCTGTTCATGCTGTAGAACTGAGGAGCACCTGCATGAGCCAGTCAAAGAAAAGGCAGACTGACTACGAGAAACATATAGTAGCACCTTTATTAAAAACAAAACAAATAATTCTACATTTTCAAAAGCAAGCATGAATGTCATGAAAATGACTTTTAACTGCTATTTAGATCTAGTACATTAGACAACAGAATTTAATATGGGTAACCATTTCTGCTTGACAATTTGTTTGAGTTGTTGAGCAATGAGTTCAAAACTGCTATAATATCCCAAAATCTGAGTAGGGTTGCACTGATCAGAAGTTCTTTCATAAACTAGAATGTCTACACTTGGGAATTAGGAACTACTAGATTGTTTGTAACTAAATTTGTTCTCACTCCGGTTGCACCTTTAAGACAAACCGTAGTTAGCAGGTCGTAAGCTCTCCATTAAGTCCTGCGTAGTCACACCGAATGACGTAATTTCCAATAAAAAGCATTAAATTGTTAAACTGCTTTAAAATTCTGCAATTACTGCTTTTATATATAACTGTCCTATGAAAATTAAATGATAAATTACATTTGTATAGCACATTAAATTAGCTACAGCTTTGAGAATTAGTCACTATAACGGATGACACACATACCTGCATCACGAGCTGTAAATGCACGCAAAATACAGATTAAGTAATCAAAACATTAAATTAGATTTTTTTCGTAATATCCTACAAATAAGGGAGAAAAGAGCAAGGAGGAAAACTTTAGTCATGAAGAAATTATCGTTTTAATTGATGTATATAACTTTGAAGATTTGGGAGAAAAGTAAGGCTGAGTAGAGGGAGATCATTCTTCATCAAGCTCCTCGATGTAAACTACTCTCACCGTCATCTAGAGGTGTTCGGTTCACGGTTTTTTGAAGTCGACTCCAATTACCAATTCCTAATTTTGGACACTAGAATCGACTCCATTTGCTTTCATTTATAATAGCACAAGGATTAAACATGCTGTATCATATCACGCTTTATACACGCAGTTCTCTTCTGGTCAGACAAAAATCAGCAGTTTAAATCATCTGCAGACAAAACTAAATATAAATAAAAAGTAATAATAAAATTGTATAGTTTAGATGATTTAGAAAACTGCATCTTGGAGACAGAAAGTTAAAACATCAATTTATTTTAGAAATATGTAATGAAAATATGCAAAGCAGTTCATTAACATAAAAAAAAAAAATCACCTCAATTGAGCCCAATCAATGTTTAAATAAAAATCATTATTATCTTCTTTATATAAATATATATATATATATATATATATATATATATATATATATATATATATATATATATATATATATATATGTTTTATAATTAAATACTGAGCACCGAGTGAACCAAATAATCTGTAGCGGACGGTCTGTTAAATGGTGTTGATTTGTTAATTTCTGGATTTTTTTTTTTAAAGGCAATAGATGCTCCAACAGATCATTAACAAAATAGCTAGATTTTTCTTTTTATTTCCGAAAGAAATAAAGTGAGTCACACCTGTTTTTGAACAGCCTTGGCTATTTAAAAATCTTTTTAAAAGAAATTTGATTTGTTATAAATTGTATCTTAATTTTAATGTATGTAATGTGTAGTTATCTACAAAATAAACAACAAGAATAGCCTAAATATAAAAAATAAATAAAATAAAAAACACAAAATGACATGTATTGTCAGATTTTGTCAATAAACAAATCTACTATTATGATTAGTGTGTTTTAATTAATCAAATTATTTATTTATTTGTGAAAAAGGCAACGGTTAAAAAAATTACCTGAGCATATAGCAGCAACCAATAACATATCATTGTATTTTTACCGGCAGCGCATATGTAAGATGTTGATCTGCTCCAAATTTACACACACATGCTATTTTTCCTTTATAACACAGCAAGCTTGTCATCACAGGCAGATCATCTTTAAACCTAAATTGCAAAAAGGTGTTTTATAGGTATTTGAAAGTGAAAGCAAACTTTGTCTCACAGATCATATTATAGTGCTAGAGTACTCGTGGTTGCCAAATTCAAAAGCATAAAAGGTGTGAACATTCATTGAAAGCGGGCACCTTCGAGGGTTTGAAAAAACAGACTCGACTCTGGGAGTCGATTCTGGAACAAGGTCTCTTTTGAAGTCAACTCCCCATCCCCAATCGTCATCTCTTTTCTACCGTTATACATGGGGGGAGGCTGCCATAAATATTTTGTTGGATTAAAGCGTTACTTTTAAACTTTGTTCAGTAGTGCAATAATAAAATATTTTGTAATGTGTAAATTGTAACTTAGTGTCTCTTTAAGTCACAAATAGGCAACGTTTTAACTTGAGCAGTGCTGGTGCAACCGGCCCCTGGACACTACATAGCATCATCCTCACATCAATGATTTATTTAGTTACAAAATACATAATTAGCAGTGGGCGACCTTGCAATGGGCAGTCATAGAAACTAATCATCAGGCCTGGTTCCCCGAGAACTAATTTAGCATTTTCACTGCCTGCAGGAACTCTGGAAACTGGCCGACAAAATACATCATCACTGAGACACTCTCTATAGAAGTATTACCATGGGTGATTAATCATCTTAAACACTTCAAATTTATGCAACACATCAAATTAAAGACACACAATAAAAAAAAGTTTGCATCCTCTTTAAACTGCCAGTGAAAATAATTCCAAAATTCACAACCTACAGCTTTGAATCATCAAGAAAGGAGCAAACATCACAGTGGCTCTTTGTTGATGACTTTGTCAGACCAAACAATGAAAGCATGTGTGAAAGTGACTCATGAGGAAGCAATATGAGCAGGACAGTTGAGCAGTGGGATGACACAAGCGTGGGAGCCGTGGCTGATGGACTGGAGACGGGACAGACTCACCTGTCTCAGGGTTGGTGCTGGATGTAGCACTAGCTTCAGCTGAAGTGAGGGGTGGTTGGGAAGGAGGAGAGCCTTTATCTGAGCTCTCGCTGGAGTCAGGATGAGAGGGGGGAGATTCAGAGTTTGAGGTGGGGGTGACTGGGGGCTGTGTGGGGGTTAAACTAGAGGAATTGACAGACGGCTGAGTGGAGTTAGTTGGAGCTGAGGGTGTGCTGGCACCAGAAGCTTGAGGGTAAAAAGAGGAGAAAGGGAGGAAACCAAATGAGAAATGCAATCTACTGCATTTCAGTTAAGGGAAACTAATGTAGTGCATCTCAGGCAGAAGTCTTGCTTTAGTCTCAGAGAGCTGCCTACATGATCAAAGAAAGACTGGGCTTAACATCTACATCTTAACAACTATCTGTATGTGTACAGGACCAAATAAATATACACATCCAAAGCAGCTAATTCTTTAGGATCAGTAGAAACTTTCAGGGAGATAACAGAGGCTTCAAGAGTTGACTCCAAATGCAGATTTGTAGTTTTCTGAATGAGAATTACAGTATCATTCAGAACAAAAATCCCTCATGGCTCGACTTTCAGCAATATAGAGTTAACACCACAAAACAAAATTCTAAACCCTAGGGATACAGTGAAAAACTATGCCAGAAAGAGAAACATGGCAGAGAATAGGAGCCAAAAAAGAGCTGTGCTGCACTGTTAAGCTGTGCCTTCACTCTCCCTCCAGCTGTAGACAGAGCACACCAGACGCAGAAAACACTGTTCTATAAAACCCATTCACATCAATGCACTATTGCTGCATCGAACAAAGCAGTCAAAGCTCAAAATAGCCTAATATTCATCTCTATCCTATCTGCTTATGCATGAACTGCACATGCTCAGAAAGCAAAGACCACTTAAATAACACCTCTCAACGCTTTCGCTGTCAATAAGATATGGACCTTAATTTACATTTTTGAAAATTGAGATTTACACATCACATTAAAAAAACAAGCTGAGATACACCCATTAGAACATCTACAATCTGAACGGTTAAAAACTGTCCCCGGACAGTGAGAAAAACTGCCTTTGATGTAGTCAAAATCAGCAATCAATTTTAGTTTTGATATTTATAGCAGGAAATGTACACTATATTCATGCAACACAATCTTCTTAATATTCTAATGATTTTAGCATAAAAGAAAAAAACAACAATTTTGAATTATAGGCCTGTTATATCTATTTTTTGTCATACAAAATATTGCATCAAAATATGTAGTGATAAACATTATTATTGTCATTTTAAGACCATTTATAGTGGCATAAATAGGCTTAAAATGACAATAATATGATATAATGCCAGAATGACAATATAATAGCATCTTAATGCACGTACACTCTTAAAAAGCACACTTAATATTTCATTTATAAAAATATTTAATTTTTGTTTTAACAATTTAATCAGAATGTGAAAATGTGCACTAAAACAAATAAATATTAATTACAATAAATGTTAACAAAAAATAAATACTATATTGTTTTTTTAACCATACTGACACTGTACACCTCCAATAGAGATAGAGAGGTTGCACAATCAGCTAAAATGTTGGTACTATTGTATTTTTTATGTATGGACGATATATATTAGAGCTGCACAATTAATCGTTAAAAGATCGCGATCTTGATTCAACCCCCTAGACCAGTGGTTCTCAAACTGTGGTACGCGTACCACTAGTGGTACGCGGGCTTCCTCCTAGTGGTACGCGGAGGAATCGCTGAATAATGAAAGAAACAATTAACACTTTTAATCCTTTAATGTGTAATATAACATTGATGTGTTCAGCATTGGCTGTTTTGTGAAGCGTACAATCACAACGCTGTGCTTAGAGTGTTTATTTTAGTGCATTGTGTCATAAGCTGCTGAAAATCAGTTTCCGAAGTTTAAGAATTGATTCTGAAGCGTGATTTGACTGACATGAAAAGTGGCCAATCACAGTCGACCTTGTCTAGTTGCGTGAAACGTAAGGGCGGGACAAAGGCTTTCTGTGTTGCAGAGACAAAAAAAACAACTTTAAAACAAATGTTTTGTTGGAATAATGCTTCTCGGATGTTTTCACTACAGAGATGTCTAGCAGAGTAATTAAACCGCGGACATATTTCCTGCCTATTTGATGATCTTCATACACGTTTCGCTCTCCGACAGCCAGTCGACTCGTCTCTGACCTGTCACTCCCCCAAATACATTCTGAATGGCGGCGCGGGAATGAAGGTATTGCGCAATTACTCATTTCTGCAAATGCGGCGAGTGCTTTATTTTAACACGAGAGCGCGTTCATGTACGCAAATCGCTAAAACAGATATGCGAGCTCTTAAATAGGCTTTTTTCAAATGAACTGCAAGTCCTCTCATGATCGCGTGTGTGCTCAGATAGAATACAATCGCGATCTCTCCACTATTAAAGTAGACATTATTTATCTTTGCTCCTTAACTAAATTTAGTCAAAAGTATTCAAAATTATCAAATATTTAGAAATAGATTGATACATGATCGATGACAATGCTAATGGTCTTCTTATTTGGCTGTGTTGTGAAGTGAAACTTACTTTTAGCAAAGGTGGAACATTTTTTATTTCTTTACGGCAAAAAAATTATGCTGGAAATGTTTCTGGATGAGGTATTTGTGTGATTTACACATTTAGCTGTATTCTGATCTGTCCTAAAGCATTACAGGTCAAAGCAATCCATTGTTAGCCTACTTATTGTTTATTTATCACAATTTACAATAAGGCTCTTAAAGCACTGCTTTGATAAATGTATTGTTGTCATATTTCAAATACCTCAAGTAAAATAAAGTCATTTGTTTTATTTTTTTACTGACAGTGTACTTGTATTTTTTTACGTTTCTATTTTAGATTAATATCACGTGTAAAATAAAATCTACATGTGATGTACAGCTATTTAAGAAACAAATTTGCCATATTGTAAAGAAAATAGTGTAAAATATGTAAATAAAAGGCTAAATTTAAATCTGTTTACCATATACTTTAATTTAACCTTTCAAAGCTTAAAAATATATATATTTTTAAAAATGGGCAAAAAAGTGTCTCTATGGCCTTAAAGATTATTTGGTAGTTTTACCAGTGCTATTGAAAAAGATTAATTGTCATGAAAGGAAAAATTGACTATACTTCCTTTGTTAGTGCAAATTCCTATACATGTAGCTTTGGGATGTAAGCAATCAAACCATTAAATTAGGTTTACACTTAAAAAAAAGTGATTTCATAATGAAAATCAGATTTTTTTTTTTTTTCAAAAGTAACCAACTAGTACTTTTTAAAAGAGTAATTTGTACTTTTACCTAATATTAGTATTATTTACTAAAATTTGTGTTATTTTAGCAGTGTAATAGTATTTTTACTTGAGTACAAAAAAGATTTCACAAGCACTTAGTGCAGGTTTATTATATTATTAATATATGATTAATAAATATTATTATTAATGGTTTTTATTTGTATCTATTCCTATGCAATGTTTTATGGGTTGCTGAGAACACATTTCAGGTCTTCAATACATAGCATGTCAGTCTTGGAAAAAAAAATAGGTGCTGGAATTGATTTTCATTAGTCTGTGCCTGTATGAACCCTGTCATGTACATTTAACATTTATTTCAAGATTTGTCTAAAAGTGTATGAATATGACATATAGCCTATATTTATAAGGTCCAAGCAACATTTCCAGCTTTTGATGAATAGGCTACTATGAATACTTTAGATTTAAGTACAGCAGTTTTCTTTTTACTTTTTAAGAACAGCGCCATTTTTTTATAAACTTTTAAAAGCACATTTTAACAAAAACTTTTTTTTTTTTTATCTGCAAGCACAGTTAATGTTCAGACTATTTCAAATGTTTAAAGTGACTGACAATAATACATATTCTTAATAATAGGAAGTAATCTGCATCGTTTTAAAACTGTGCACACCTGTAGCTGCTTAATTAGGCTTACGACGCTATTTTTTAATACTGGTTAAAAAATAGCGTCGTAAGGTGGTACTTGGAGAGACGATTTTTTTCTAAGGTGGTACTTGGTGAAAAAAGTTTGAGAACCACTGCCCTAGACGATCTTAATCCAGCCGATCTTAATCCAGCGATTCTGCCAATCATATTTTTAAGTTCAGGAGACAAGAAAAGGCGGCAGCACGAGTTTTTTTATTGTTTCACATACGTTGCTCAGTGACATTGACACCTCCAAATGATGTTGAATGAGTCAGATAATGTATTTTTAAGGTATAATTCACCTAAAAATGTAATTTTTGTCTTCATATAATGATGTTTTCGCGGCCGGGAAATCACACGTGACATGAGCTGCTGACCGTAAGCTGTTATCACAGAGAGGGCGTACGCGCGCTCTACTTAATAATAGACGCGCGCGCGTCTACTTTAGTGAACAGAACCTGCATATGTTGCCAGTAACAGGTAATACAGTTTTAAATAATATTCAGTTTGTGGCACAGAGTGGTCGTTTGGGAGCCGCGCGCGAAGTATGAACAAGCACTTAGCAGTCAGAATGAAACCGAAAGTGTGCACTTCTTTTAAATGATCATATCGCATTTTAGAGTTATGATTACGACAAGCATTTGATATGTTTTTTTCTTTTATAGCGAACCCATAGTTGTGCATGAAAATAAATGTTCACAATGTCAGTATAACTACTCTAGCCTATATATTGTTGAATATAATCTGATAATGGCAAATGTCTGATTTTACCAGTAAATAAATTTGTCTAATATAACAGATTGCAAGCATATCTCAAACATAATAATTCAACATCAGAATTATTATAAGTAGAATAGAATTATTTATAGAAACCAGTAGACCTACACATAATATTATTATCGATGTTGTGCCATATGTTTGTTTTTACCATACCTTTATTTTACATATACAGAATTGTGAGAAAATCGTGATCTTTATTTTAGGCAAAAAAAAATTTTAAAAAAAATCGCGATTCTCATTTTAGCCAGAATCGTGCAGCTCTAATATAAATTGCAACACCGAAAATGATTGAGTTCATTGCCATGTGAGGTTCAATAACTCAATACATTGATTATTATGACAGATCTATACGATGCAATTTTGGCCATTGCAAAAAAAACAAAAAAACATACTAGTGCAACATAAGTTTTCGTAGTTTAAGGTCACAAATGTGGTTATTTTATTTGCTTGTGTTGTTTAAAATCAGTTAAGTCTAAGTTGAGTTAAATTTAAAAAGTCATAATAATAATAATAATAAATAATAATAACTTTCCAGTGCTCAAAGACATATTATAAGATGATAATAAAATAAATGTTTTTCTGTTTTCAGCCAGAATTTGCTGTTTCGGCCCAGAATCTTAACTCCAGTGCATCAATACTTCATATCCTCCAGGGATGAAGATACATAGCTATTTGAAAGCTGTTCAAAAGTACTATAAAATATAATACTTTACATTTAAGCCGCATGCAAAAAGAGCACTTTAAGTAAAATGCATGTTTAGTTTTGTGATTAAAAGACCTGCTGGAATTTCAACAATCCAACACTTGCTCAATGAAATTTCAAGCTAAAGACACCACAGAAGCACGGCATACAGATCTTGTGTTGGCCCTAGGTTATGAATGCAAGCATTATGTCTTTTTGTTAAGCGTGATGTTTGTGAAGTCAGGGAGGAGATGGAGATGTCACCTGGGAAGGCGCTGGGTGGAGAGGGTGTGGGTACAGCAATGGGAAGACCGACACTGCCGCTCCCGCTGTTTTCCCGACTGCTGCTGCGGCTGCTGGGATGACTGCCACCACTGCTCCCACTGCTGAACACATACCACAGATTACACATCTTGTCTACGTGTGCCTCATACTGAAGACTCAGCAATATGATTAAACAAAACCAATGGCAAGTGCTCACTAATACAATAGATGGACCAAACAGCACACATAAAATAAACATATTTCTTAGCAACAGCAGAATGGCTTGATTCAGGGTTGACAGTATTAAATGCTAGCATTTGTGAAACAGAAAGAGCAGAAACAGCACAGCTTTAGTGGCAAGAAAGCAGAACACAAGATAGCCAGCACTGAATTGGAAACCCCTGAGCACACTGCAATCATAATAGCAAAAAGAAATGCACAAATCAATCAGTAATGCTTTTTAAAGGAGACACAAAAACATCTGAGACATACAGCGGTGACAGGCATAAAAAGCCACTGAAGATAAAACATAACATTTTCATAGTTTGGAAATGAATTACATTTCTTGTAAACCTTCCTGAGGTTCACCCCTCTGGGGAAAAGGAAATGGAATTTGGAAAAAAACAGCAATTGTGCACTGGAGGATTGTATTTATTGTTTCTAGAATTATTGGTGGAAGTACCTGCTTTTAGTGCATTTGCTCCTCAGGAACTGGGAATGATTTTAGTTATAGCAAATACAGCCATGCAATAGCATTTTAGAGCTACAAGACACACACAAAGAGGGCATTTACCCATCACTTTTATCTGCAGCTACTCTTATACTCAATTTAGTGTCCTAGATTTCCTTTTTTCTCCTTTAGTTGCATAACTTATACATCTACATCTAATCTTCATTGAAACAAAACTCCAAATCACAGGATCCTCCATTCTCCAGTTGTCAATTTATTAACAATACTGCTGTAGGCCAGCATATTTGTCTGCTGAATGCTTGTTTCGAATGGATAGCCCTCATAATAATGGCACAAAGTGTAAATTTGGGCTATTATTAATACGATTGGCCTGGTATAAAAATATATTTTATTTATATATGTATACCAGGAGACTGGCCACTAGCATAATAAAAGAAATGATTATAATTATAAAATATATATTATACAGTAATATATACAGTATATATAAGTAATAACAGAATAGTGACATGATTATGAAGGTGAATAATCAAAATTACTTGTATAATTAATTAGTACAAGTCTGATACACTTGATACAATTAAGAGATAATCTTGAACATTTTTATGCATATATGCAATTTAAAAAGTAGAGGGTAAAAATAATCTAGTACCTGGTTTTGTAACAGAACAAATTTCTTCTTCAGTCTGAAAAACATGTTCACACTTTTGTTATGAAAACACTGATGCACCGTATGATTGCTGCAGCACTCGCTCGAGCAAGTGGAACTGCAACTCATCTGGCCCGCTTGGTTTGACTTATTAATAGTTATCTTGTGTTTAGACGGCTATGACAAGAGTTTTGCACAATGCTGATGGTTAATGTGCATCATTTTCGTTGTTCTGTTAGTGTAATTAAATGTCTTTTTGTAGTATTTGCACACAGTTTGTGTTTTGTCTAGCCTCTGATTTAGCCCACGTTTTCCGGCCCAAAAGCTGTCCAAAACCCAGCAAAACCTGCCCAAAATATTAGAATATTTTATTTAATGTTAATTCATTTAAATCGAAATTAACAGAGTTACTTTAACTGTCATAATTTTAACCATACATCAACCAACACCAGCAGGCACAGGACCACAACATAACTGGATTACATCAAAACACTGCCCCCACTCACTGCACGTAATGTTGTGTAGATTACACTACCTATTAGAGTATGTTTTACTTTTAAAATGGGGTATAAATTCATCCCATTTGGCATTTTAAATTCATTTGAACATAATAAGGGTGCTGCTTGTCAATCAGACAATGCTTCTATGTTTGTTCTTGCGGTCAATTAAGGAAAAAAGGTCGATAAAAGTGTCATGATACACCTGTGAGTTTAACTGCATGTGCTGTGATGTGCGTGCACATGGAAGGAAGTCAGATTTGTCCAGGGAGTCAGATTTTGATACAACTTTCCTTCACCTACCCGCAAAAGGAGGTGAAGGAAAGTTGTACCAAAATCAGACTGAAGTTGTATCAAAACCCGACCTAATCTGGCAACACTTCCACCTGTAAACACCCCTCTGTTAAAAAAAAAGTATTGCGATTCATTCAACATTTCTACCAGTTTGAGTGGTTACATATTTGAATGGATTTTTAACCGGCTCATGGTGAATCGTTACATCACTACCAGTGTGTCAAGAGCACATGCGTTGACATTTACTCAGACCCCTCCAATTCACTGCATCCTCTAAATGCAACGCTAACGCTGTATATTTGCAAATATGAATTTAAATATTTATTATTGAGTTATTATTATTTTATATTGCCTGGGCACACTCTCTCCTCTCAACTAGACACTTATTTCTCGACAAAAACTAGACTTGTTGTAGTATTTATGATGACTTGATTTGAAGTTCTTTTATCCTCACTTTGGATAAACTGTCTGCTAAATGTGTAAATATTTAAAAACCTGATTCAAATCATTAGCTCTGTGAAATTTAGTAGGGCACAACCATTGTGATTTGTGTCCAATAACATTTCCAACTGGCAGACAGATGGGAGAAAGCTTGGGAAAACGGCACCAAATGCTCTTTTTTTTTTTCTAAGTGACAAGAGGCAGTCAATCCTTATCCAGAGCACGTGGGTGGACTTCAGAATGCATTCAACGCTCACACTGAAAACCTGAGATGGCGTTTGGAGTGTTTTCGTCAGGTTGCAGAGAGTATTAAAGTGAGTTCCTGCAGCTCAACAAGTAAAGAATAAGCCACTAACAAAAACAATATCAGGGTTTGGATTGCCAGAAGAAATGCATTAAAACCACATTGGCTAAAAGTGAAAGGCAAACGCATAAATAAAGATTTTACAGGCACCCCTGCAGAGGGCACAGAGATCAAACGAGAACAAGTGCGAGCGGTTATATAATTTCAGACACAGCAGACTATATTTCTCTCTTGGTCTTTCCTTTGAAGCTCAGAGTTTTTCAGCTATGTAGTGGACTTGAACTTAAAAAACCTCAAGAAAAAAAGGAGAGGACGATGGGAGACATCTCAAAGAATACGAGGCTCTGCAGTCATTTGAGAGCATCTCCAGGCATCTTTATCCTCCATGACTGATGATGCGTTTATGCGAGCACTGTTAACGTCATTCGCAACTGGTTGCCAAGGTTTCAGATTATGCAACTGTGCAGACAATCAGCGATGCTTGTTTTAGAAGTGCTGGGGGAAAAGCAATGCTGGAAAGCTCTTTCACAATGACAGTCTAATTGCTAAATCAACTAATCAATGTTAGCTGATAAATGCACAACAAATAAAAGGAAAACACTAAGCCCTCAAAATAAAAATAAAAAAAACGCAGAGAGATGCATACCAAAGGCGTTCAATGCAATGGAGTCAAATGATGTGGGTACCTGTAGGTGCGGTTCCTCTGATTAACAGATGCCGTGCGCACAGGACTTTGGTGCAGGATGGGCACCATATTGCGTGTTGGGCTTGGGACGTAGTCATTAGGGACCACAGGAGGCCGCACTGGCTCAAGTGTTCTGTAGGGTGAGTGTCTTCTGTAAAAAGGGGCAGCAGTTTAACAACCTTGATTAGACTAGCCTTCAAATAAAAAAAAACATTCTAAAATGTTTACATTTCATAATATAACATGTAAATGTATATGCTTAAAAAATGCTTAAATAAAAACTGCAACTTGAATTTATATATAGGCATGCACACACTCAGACAACTGGTTAAAAGTTTGGGGTCAATGGGATTTTTAAATGTTTTAAAATAAGCTTCTGCTTACCAAGGCTGCATTTATTTCATCAAAAATACATTACAAACTGTCAAATTGTGAAATGTTATTGCACAATAAAACAACTCTGCTCAAAAGTAGTTTATAATTTCATTTAATCATTTACTCCACTGATTTTAAGGATGAATTTTTAGTTTTATTACTCTCGTCTTCAGAGTCACATGATCCTTCATAAATCAATCGAATATCGATTGTTATTATTATTATTATTACTATTAATATTATTATTATTATTATTATTATTATTAAAGGTAATGATAATAAAAGCACTAATGACTGGTGTAATAATTTCATTTGAATCTACATACAACAAGTAATAAATAAATAATAAATATTTGACCATTTTGTTTTCATTTAATAAATGCCACTTTGATAAACAGAATACATTTATTTGAAAAAAAAAGGGAAAAAAAAGACTTTATTGATATATTTTTATTTTATTTTATTTTATTATATATTTTTAAACCTTATACATAAAGTGCTGAATACACCTAAATTGTTTTGTTGGGGTTAAATATGTTATAAAATGTTAATAAACTGGAAAAAAAGAGAAAAAAAATATATATAGCAAATGTTGTTGTAAGTTAGTAGTTTGTAATTCTTGTACTTGTTTGAATTTAAATCTTTCAATTACTAAAATGTTAGGTAACTAAACTCTTATTTTAATTGATAAAACTGTTTAATTGTTTTGTTTAAATGCATCAAACATTATTGTTAAAATTCCAGCAGGCCTTTTAATGAAACATTGAGAACATTTTTAGCTAAAGACATCATAGATGGACTGCATGCAGATCTTTTGTATATTCACTGAGAAATGGCTAAATATATTCAATTTCAAAAAGAAGAGCTGAGCACATTTATGCTGAGCACTGTGTATAACAACTTTTGAGGTGCAGACTTTTTATGTGTATATCAAGTTAGAATTATTAGTCGTCCTGTTGAGTTTGAATTCTGTTATATTTTCCCCCAATTTGTGTTTAACGGAGAGAATATTTGTTTCTTCAACACATTTCTAAACATAATAATTTTAATAACAAACTTATTTTACCTAAACAACTTATGGTAATTAGGCATGCCATTGTGTAACAGTGGTTTGTTCTGTAGACAATTGAAAAAATAAATATTGCTTTAAGGGGCTAATAATATTGACCTTAAATGGTTTTAAAATATATTGAAAAAATATTTTACAAAATTAATAAAATGAAGTAATAGATTTAATTTCAAGCTACTCTGACACATTTGTATATCTGTGACTCTAATGTAACATTTAACAGAATGCTAAAGATTTTTTAAATGAATTAAACGTTTTTGAAGGAAAGTACAAATTCAAAATTTACCCACAACACACCAATGACATCACCCAGAAAATATGCTTAATTGTCAAGAAAATAAATTCTAAAATAAAAAACGATAAACATACTTTTTTGACACGGTGTTCTTCATAACATTTGTGGGCTTCAAAATATGCAATTTCCCTTTACTGCATACAGTATGTGTTTATCTGTGTTCGATTTGAGCGTGACTCAATCTGGCCTGCAATGACCAGCCATCATGTTGCGACACAGGAAACCAAAAGAGAGCCAATCTGCACTGCAAGCGTTGATAAAAACAGGACCGGACAGGACACACCCTCTGTCCTCAATGCTCATACACATCAAGCTCACTTTATAGACTGAGCAAATCTGATCTGTTTCACGATTTTAATTTCAAACTCTCCCAAAATTAGATGGCAAAGCACATTTAACGCCTCTGTTCTGACCCGAAATGTAAATCAGGCTCTTCTCTGGCATAAAAGAGGCACATGAAGGATAATGTCATATGTAAGGCTGAAGCTGAATTCTCCCTGAGGAATAAAGACATAACAACCCACACATGTGCTCCTGAACTCAACTACAAACACATCATACAGTAAATGCTGAAAACATGAAACCTTAACATGAAAGAACTGTTTTTTACTAGCAAATGAAAAAAAAAAAAAACTCATGATGAGGAAAACTAGAAAATGCTTTTTACACACTTGATAGTCACTGCACAGTTGGAAGATTTGAAATATCACAAATACTTTGATGTCTTTGAAAATTCAAACATGAGCTGAAAGACAATTGACTCCACAACCTAGCAGGCGGGAATGCGGGAAAAGCCAGCTCCCCTCATGTCCTCCATTTACATTTGAATCCCCTGAAACCCCTTTGTTCAACCACCCCAACTCACACAGAACGGTCATTGCAAAGGCTGAATGTTCTAAATCAACCAAGTGACTTTATCTATCATGTTTAATATCATTTGAAATGTCTCAGTGCTACTGGTACAATGGTCTCATTCCCTCAGAAAAATATAGAAAACAATAAATATATGCTTAGATGTGGCATTTATAACAGCTTAATAGCTCAATTCTGAACATTTCCACGTTAATACTACATGCTGAAATATTGATAGAAAATTCTTTGACTATATAAGCCCACTGTTTATTAATTCAGTGCTCCAACAGTTAACATTAACATTACTAATATTGTGATGAAAAATACATAGGCTTTTATTAATATTAGGTGATGTTCATTTCTTAGTTCATGCCTAAATAGCAATAAATCAGCATTTTTCTTCCTGTTGACTTTAATCTTTTAATTACCATTTACTAATGAAACTTTATTGTAAAGTGTTACGTACCCTACTTTATAATCATTTTGCCATTTAGATTGGTTGTAACCGTTGCTGATCATGCATAAGCAGTAAATCAATACACAAAGTATTTTCTGTTTATACACCTTTTCTGCAGTTTACGTCAATTTCATGTATAATACCTTATATCACGATAAAAGGTTCAAAAATGAATCGCAACAAGAAAACTAGATACCATCATAAGACTAGTATCAACTGTACCCTAACTGGTAGAACAGTAAAAGTTGAAGGTAGATACCCTATCGTGCCTTTGCCTGCCATCGGCGGACTGGGTGGCTTCTGTGTGGGAGGTGTGGTGCGAAGAAGACTCCCCATCTTCATGTTTTGGGTGTTGACCTATGACAATCACCAAAAAAAAAAAAAAAAACACCATCAGAAAATATTACAGGAGGAAAAATGGTATTAACTTTGGCAATACAGCTCTATAATATGCAGAGCAGCAGCAGAGAGAAAGAGTTTATTCCTATTCATTTTAAAGTAAGCCCAAACAAACAGAACAACAGCAACTTCTGAGCAGCATGCGACAAATATAGAATGCAAATGTGATATGGTAAGGATGAAAGAAGAAACAGGGATGATTGCCAAATGGTTGTTCAATCGAAACTGAAATCTTTACTCCTCATTAAAGCATCTCTATAAGAAATAAACGACTCTCCAAATCAGCATTGGCTCTAATTTGTGCCTAGAACGAATTACAATTGGTGTTCAGAGTCCATAACAAAGTATGAACTATGGAATCAAACCGTATTCCTTCTCCATTCCTCAAACCTGATCATAAGACAGCTGTAAAAGCCCTTACCTTGAACCTAAGCAACCACTTAAACCAAGAACGAAGAAGCAGAGAACAGGGGTGAGAGGAAGCACAGAGAGGTTAGTGACACTTCTCAGACACATAGAAAACCCACGTCAGATTTGTTAGTTTGAAACAAACACGTTAGTCAGAAGAAATCGTTCATCCCGGTGAGCTTGTGTCCTACCTTCACACCGTGACCAATGTCGTCCAGCATACTGTAATCGATAGGTTTGCGTATGTACCGCACTGGCCTCTCAGGATTGGCTGGAGCAATGATTTTGTGTGTGCGAGAGGTGTTCTTGTTGGTTGTGAGGATGCCTATCTCCCGCCTGGCCACTTTTTCTTTGTGGATGTCCACCGTCTGAATTGAAGAAGAACAAGGAAATCTTGAGTTTTTACATAATTGTCAGAGACAGAAAAGCCAACTGTTACATTAAGCATTAACCCTTTAACAGGCATCATAACCACCTGGTTCACCTTTAAACCATGGGTTATCATTAGTATTTTAATCGCTTATTACTATCTATCAGAGTTGTATTGAATGATATACTGACACAACATGTGGGCCAAAAAAATATTTTCAACGAGTGCACGATAAAGAGTTAAAGCTACATTAGTAAGCAGATAATAAACAGCTATTGTGATTAATGATTGTATTTTTATATTTTTACATTAATTTTAAATTTTATTCTTTATTTATATATTTGTATTACTTTGTTATTTTTTATTATAATAACAAATAAAAATGGCAAAGATTATAGAGTTGAAACATTGTTAAATAAAAGTTCAGTGTTAAAACTGGAGTGACAAAATACAACATATTACATTTTACTAATTAAGAACAACACAATAATTTAACATTTCAGTGTTGTCTGTGTTAAAACATTATAAAACACTTTTTAGAAATTAACGTTTCATGATAGAGTATAACTGTGCCTTAGCTTACAAACAGATATTTGTGTTAATAAAGCATTACTATGAGATATTAGGGCAGCACAATATATCATTTCAGCATCAATATCGCAATGTGAACATTTGCAATAGTCCCATCGTGAGCACACGCAATGGTGAGTATAAGTTATCATTTTGCAAGTGTTTTTTTGAGACATGTGACTGAGTTTTAAAGCATTCAGGCATTAGAAAATGTTTGTAACTAAAAAAATTATAATGATCACTTTTAATAAATTGTTTGTAAAATAAAGACTATGCAGTACTATTTTACATTTGATTATGTAATTACTGTAAACCTGAATACATTCTGACACTTTGAAAAACAATAAAATCGCTGTTCATTTAACTAGCACATTTTTCTTTATTGAATTTGTCTATAATTGTAGATTGCTTATTATATTTTATACAAAAGTTCCTAACTGGTTCTTAAATCTAATTAGCTAATAGTTTACATATTCTGTAAATAACAGCACTTGTCCAGCCTCTTAACCCTTTACCCTTATTACTCCGCCCACTTACAGCAACAAAGCAGAGGACACTCTGGTTTGACAAAGATTCTTGCTGTTGGATAACAATATACTTTTGAGGCTTAAGTCGAGAATGTAGTTGTTTAAATTGCAACTATGCAGTTTATTTATAAAGATATTTTAAATATTTATAACTGTGAGAGACAGTGCAGTGGCGGCCATTAGCCTGTCTTTGAGCAAAGAAAGACGGTGACTATGTTCATCCACAAGACGATGACAGAAACCGCATAATAAGAGAAAACAGCTAAATTTAAAACTACAGCTGATTAAATCATTATTAAACAGGTAAATGACTCAAGTCGATCTCTCTCTTTTGTATATTGTAGTGTTGTATTTATACCATAGTAATATTGTGATTTGATTGCATCAGAGAAATACTGGGAAATCTCTGCAGACTGATGGCATTTCATACTGTTCAGCCTTATAATCTTAAAATGTGAGCAAAATCACAAGTTTTGTCATCACTTTAGACATTACGCTATAGAGAATCATTGAAATACTAGCTCTAAACCGATGTGGTAAATGAGCAACATTTCTGCTGTTCTGACCTCAGCTGCAGATGTGAATGAATAACATAAAAAAACGATTTTAAGACTCTCCTTGTTTGATTTTCTTCTTTCAGTCTGTCGAACTGTTGTATAAACGCAATATCACACTTGTAGCATTGCGATGTGGCTGTATATCATCGCTGGTGGGACACTAAGGCACACCTCCCCCCAGTGATAATATACTGCCACTTCACACTAGTGTGATATTGCTTATTTATGCACTCCTCTACAGAATCATCCTAATCAATCTGAAATTAGATTTTTTTTTTCAAACAGTTATTCAACTCATCTAGTGAAATTGCATGCATATCTCAATTTTTTTAATACTGTGATTTATAAATTATTATAAAAAAAAAATTAATCGCAATGTGTAAATTTTCCAATATCGTGCAGCCCTATATCACATTATTATATTATATACTATATAACTATATTATAAAAAAAAACATTACTTGTTGAGGGCTTGAAAAAAAATCTGTATAATGTTCATTTGAATAGTTCATTAATCATTTACTCACCTGCACTTAATCTCAATTCCTAATTTAGCAAAAATTAAATCATTAAAAATTATTGAATCTCTAAAGAATCTCTAAATAACATCAAGCTCATTAGATTTGAGATTTTGCAACTCAATAATACAGCATTTATACAGTACAGCACTTAGTAAACTGCTTATAATGTCTACTTAAGTCGCATTAGCACATGCTTAAGAAATAATAAACTAACAATTTGCTAATGATTAATAAACAATTCGTAACGTGCAGTAATTGCAAAGTGTTACCAAAAAGTCTTAAAGCTAAGCATTGGAGCAAAAAACAACTTGTGGAAAATAGATGGCATGAACTTCGTATTTGAGAGGCCTGAAATCTCTGTGGATGGAGTTCTGTTTCATTTCACACGGCAATTTGGGAGAGGACTGTGTCAAAAGCACTTGACGAGAAGAGCTGCATTAGATGTTGTGCTGCCGTGTTTAATCGCTTTAGAGCCCATACTGTAGACAGCTGTTAAATAAAAAATAAAAGAGGAAACACAGAGGATAAGCCTCTGCTGCTGGCATATCAAACACAGATAAATGATTTTCAGCATTAACCGACAGTGATATGGTAAAATAGGGCACGAGTCCAGAGTAACAGCTGAGTCCACAGATGAGGGCAGATCACAGAAATGGATACTAAATAAAAAAAAAAAGCATATAAAGAAGAAAACCGTAATCATCCATGTTTTTTTCAATGTTTTTCCCTTTGCATTTTTAAAGTTTTACGTATATATGACAAGCTTTCAACAATTCACATTTACACACATAAGAAAAAACTGTCAAACATGCTGTATTACATATGCCAGGACAATAGTTGGCACTACTTTTGATTCCATCCATCTATTTTTATGCGCATTTGGGATAAACGATTGATGAAAACACATAAATGTGCATAAAAACATACGTGCTTAACTGAGTAGGATAAACTTCTATTCAATAAGAAAATGTGCATAAACTGCGATGGAAACACTTTTACCATACAAATTCCAGTATGCACACTGAAAAAAGGTCATGTGATTCAGTTATATGAGATCATGTGATGATAAACGTGTCAATAGACAAACCAGCCTTAACGGTTTCAGTAATAGTGTAATGATATTATTAATGACCTCCAGAATAGAGGACCTGTGCTCCACATCTCATGCCTTCAAACAACGCCACGTGCTAATTGCGTGTCAACATCATCTTCTAAGGCACAAGTCAATTATTAAATGAAGAAAAGATTGACACAGCTTCTCCTACCACAGCAAATTGCTTTTTTTACTATTGATATTTGGTGCCATTAATAAGGAAATGATGATTTTGTTTTCTTTGACTTGTTGAATGGAAAAACTGCTTGATTCGCATGTCTTTTATGCAATATTCCAGTTTTGCGCATCAATTTAATTAGCATTTCTGGATGGCAACATAGCTACTGTTACCTTATTAGTAAACAGTACCTGTAGGGAAGTGATGATTCGCTCTTTAGGAACGAGTATTTTAGATTTGACGTTTGTATATGATGCGTCCACATTGTTGGTTGCTCTCGTTTATTGCAGGAGTTACATTCTAAAAATAGGTGAAATCCACGAAGTAGACAGCTTTACTTTTTACAATTCTAACAAACAAATTATAAATTACAATTTTAAGGCTGTAAAACCCCTCACTACACAATTTATACACTTTTATCAGAAAATCATTACCATTTTCACATTTTTAATTTTTGTTTAAACACTTTCAAAAAATAAAAAGTTCAAACTTTTATAGAAAAATAACTCCAGTATTATAGAATGAAACCATAGATCAAAACTGGTTGTCAGGCGCAAACATTCAGCGCTGTCCGCCAAAGATTCATAAAGCTTTTTCGCTTTTGTGTGGATAATGTTAGCATCCAGCGTAATGTTTTTTTTCCTGCAGTCACTGATCAGCAAAGCGAAAGCAGACTCCATCCTTTTAGGGGTCGTTCACCGGATCCGACGCGCACATACAGTAAGAAGTAACACAAACTATACGCACACATTAACATGTTATTTATAATTAAATTATTCAGATGTAGCGTGGCAGAAATACGAACAGTGTCCTGAGTCATAGCTAGGCGCCACTGACAGCCATCAACTTGCGATGCCGGTGTGCGTATCCTGATAGAAACCTATGTTTGCATGGCGCTGACTGGCGCAGTGCATACAGTCTGCGACCCCTTTTTTGATGATCTTGCTGCAGACACCCTTTTTGCATCCTTGTTAAAACTCACACTGCTAGTGATCATAGATTTGTGTTAATTTGGAAAACTGAATGCATTTTGCACTGCACAGGAGAAATAGAGGAGATTTATTGACAATGGTCAAACTAGCAGCAGCAAACTAGCTAAACGCAGCATCACACTGTCTCATTCTCACACATAGATACGCGTGCTCGCTTGCTCGAGAGTCAGGAGTAATACTTTTAGACCACCCGCTCCCGTCCAAAATTAAACCAGTTACCGACCGTTCCTGCGCTTTATACGAAAATTTATTCTCGCGCCGCAGAAATCTGGTCAGCTCCCTCGGTACAGCCGCGGGAATGCAGACTTCTAGTCTACATCCAATTACGCAGAACATAATGAGCTGTGTAAAAAAAAAAAAAAAAAAAGCAAGTCAAAATTTTCACGATTTGCACTTTGCAGGAAAGATCTGATTGAGGCCTAGTTTGTGGCCTTTGTATGTAATCTATTTTGTATGTGAATACTTGAATTTGTAAACCCAGCATTAGAGTAAACATACAGTAAACAGCCCTAACATGTTACCAGGAGGAGAATTTTACAACAGGGACTGATTTGAGATTGCAATTTACAAAACATGAAGCACTTTTTTGTGCACTTATTTTAGTGTTTCTCATGTTATGCTTTCAATATCTTACCTTTTACCCAACTAGGTCACAGTCATCCACCTGTCGCCTCCTCACAGTCTCTAAGAGCTGTCAGTCATTCAGTAAATATAGCTCAGAGTGTGAAACTGTATGAAAGTGTTTACCTGAGAGATGTGGTTGATGGAGGACTCCATGCGGCGCAGCTGAGACGCCTGGATGTCCAGCATTTGAAGCACATTGTTGGCGAGAGTGTTGATCAGGTAGGCCACACTGGCCAGGGATTGAGTAGTGTAGTTCTTGGTTTCCTCTAGAGCGACATGCTTGTCTGGAGCCTGAAAGAGAAACAAAAGAGTAACAGTCAGTGCGCAATTTAATCAGAGCCATTTAAAGGATTCAAGCTGTGGTAGTTAAGGGATTTGTGCTGATTTAAAAAAAACATATTACAACATTAATGGTCCAAAAGCTTTTTAAAGTTAAACTCACAATGCAACTATTATATTGTACTGATCTCAGAATGCTCAACGAAATCGAATTAGATTAAAATCTCTAGTCAGTATCAAGCCAAATCTAATAATAATAGTAATAATAATGTTAATAATAATAATAATAATGCATTTTATTTAAAGGCACCTCAAGAAAGACCACACAACATAGCAAGAACAACCAACAGATAAACACAAAATTAAAAGACAAAAAAATATAGTACAATTAAAAAAACAAAGTAGAGTTTTGAGTTTGGATTTGAAATGTGAAAGTTTAAATTACGGAGATCAGGAGGAAGTGAGTTCCAGAGATGAGGAAATCAATCAAATCTAGGGATGCACAATATATCGCCAGCCATATTGATATAAACCGATAAATGCTATTATTAATGTTATTGTTAATATTATCTATCCAATACCAAAATTAGGCGATAGAATATGTAATTGTACAAAACTGCCTGCCTTGCATGCGTAGACAAAGCCTTTAGTTCTTTCATTTTATTTAAAATGTTTATTTAACTTTGTTAATTAAATCCCATTTTTTATTAAGCCAATTATTTTTATGGAACAGTCGAGTTGCATGTTAATTTGCTATGAGAAGAAAAGGCATGCTGATTTATGTGAAATCGTGAATATAGGTTTATATAATCACCTTGCAATCTTAAAATTTTAGCTTTTTTGCTATTCAGGCTATTGAGTTCATAAGATCAGTTCAAACTTTTTTGAAGTTTTAAAAATAAAATCAGTTGTTTACTGTATACAAATACAACATTTATTTGAACCATTTATGTTTATCAACTATTGTATATCGGTTATTGGCCTCCAAATCTAAAGAGTTATCGGTTATAGAAATATTGGCCCAAAAATCCATATGGTTGCATCCCTAATCAAATCAATAAAAAGAGATTTTCACAAGCTGCAGGCACCTGATCCATTGATGACAAATGATGGCCAAGTTTCATTTCCGACTTTGGACCATTTTCTGTCTTCCAATGTTGATGAAATTAATACTGATTCAAATGAAATGATGAAATCACAATATAAATAATGCAGATAATGTAAAATACATTATCTACAATGGATAACTTGATAATGTATCCAACAACATTTTGGGGAAAAAAAACACTGTGATTCAGAGCATGAGTAAACTGTCATCACTTGCTCTGATCCTGATAGTAACAAACAAATATGACTGCTTAAATATAATTCCAGAAAATGATTCTCAAGTGAATTTATGGTCATTTCCACCAACCCATGAAAATGAATGAATTATTTTTTTAAATATATTTGACTATATGCAGTAAAAGAGATGTAGCATTGCCGCTAGAGTGGAATGTCAGGATCTAAGCAGTTCTTCTGTGACATCAGACTAAACAGTCACATGACCCGGGCTTTGATGCCTAGTCTGACAGAGAAAAAGTGTGTGCATGTCTGTGCACACAATTCCAGTCATTGTCCCAGGACAGTACCAGGAGGAAACAGTCACCTCTCTCATACTTTTGACTATGCTCTATTTTATAAATGGCAAAACACATTCAGATAAACTGAATCAGTATTTGACCATGACAGTCTAAGAGAACCAATACATGAAAATAAGGTTATGCCAGTTTAACATGTAAATGATGACCTGTTTTATAATTATTTTTAATTACTATTTATCATCAAATTTACAACCAAAGACAGTATATTCAGTTAAAAATCACCTTTAATGTTTTACTAAACAAAACAAGCATCCTACATGATGAGGAAATAAAAAAAAGCATTTTCTTTATTTTGGGTAACTCTCCCCTTAAACATTGTAAAAACTTTCATTTAAATAGCATCAGCAATAATCCAATCAAAATGTATACTATAGATATATAGAATTACTGTTTCAAAAAAACAACAAAGAAATATGAATATCAAACTAAGACTTGGCAATAAAATCGATATTTATTGACCAAACACCATTTTCAATATCATTAAAAAAAGATTTAGTATGAAGCGCTATAATTTTATTTAAATGCGGCTGCAGAGTGCGCTCCTTGGAAGCAATACCAAAAAGCTTAGGGTGTCAGTTTGTCATTTTTAATGGAGGTGTGCGACTTGCACGACACACACATGGTGTGCATGGATGCACATGATGCACATCCATTTTCCAGGTACACCTAATTGAAAAACATCTGAACTTTTCCAAATGCCACGTACGCACTGCGATTCATACGGAGTAGAACTAACCAATCTGCTTCACACTTTGTGTGGAATAAATACATTTCAGTAACGGTTATGACCCGAGACAAACACAGCACACCTAAACACTGCAGTTCTTTTCACTTTTCTCCATAAACTTGTATCGAGCTGCAGCAATTTGGCCGATTGTCACCCTCTAAGAAAACGGTAGATGGTTGCCTAGTTACGAGAGGTGGCATAGAAAACGGTGAAGGAAAGCACAAGTGTGTGCTTGTCACTTTAGGTCAGAATAACAACACATGCGAAAATGAGTACCGTATAGCAGCAGTCAGGAGACAGTAAATAAAAAAAGATGTAAGGATGTCACCAGAGTGGCTTTTTGGTTACTTTTTTTGTGCATCCCAGCCACCAGCACCCCATCTAAAAGTTTTTTTTTTTTTTTAGCATAGGGGGTAATATAGTCATTCAACTTCACAATATGTAATGTTGCAGTATGTGTTTAAAGAATGTTGACTGGTTCCTTTACTTGAAAGCTCAGATTTGATTATCATAATTTGTTTTGTTTACAAAGTTTGAGGTTTACTGTATCGTTATAATTGACACCTTAACAGATGTTGATCTACCTTTACCATTGCACACACTTGGTAATATTTTATTTATTAATTTTAAGAGTCCTAACCCAAGTTTAACTTAAATAAATTTAAACAAAATATCTCATATTTTTAATAATAAAATAAACAAGTGTTAGAACTTGTTGATGTTTATTTTAAAATTATGAGATATTTTGTTTAAATGTTTTAGTTTACTATGTGCCTTAGTAATGTTGGTAAATTAAAATAAAGTAGCTAAAAAATCATAATATTGTTAAATGTAATGTTAAAAAATATTCAATAAATATCGATATCGGATGATATGAAACATGAAATTGTGATAATTTTTATTTTTGCAATATCGCTCCGGCCCTATCAAACAGGATACCACAGATCCAATTAAATAAAACTTTTCTACAAATTTAATGACAATCTAATTTTCATCAAAGATGACAAGATAATCTGTTACATGGGCATGAATGTCAGCTGATGTAATATCTAAATAAGGCAATATCGGCCATTTAATGAGCCCAGTTAGTAAATATAACCCCATCTACTCATATATCTTACACAAATTTCTAGTGCTACAATAACACAGAGCAGTGAACAAGCACATGGCACAAAAATGAAATTACTCATCCGCATGGATTGAATTATAAATAAAGATCTGCTCCACTGCTTGCATTTACAGTGCTGACATGCTGTGGGTTTGCGGTGGGCAGTCATGTAGGGCAGGACGGCCCGCTCTCCCTCAGGACATACAGCGACACACTGACACTAATATGCAGACGCAGTGCATTGACCCACGCTGATGACATCACAGCTGCATCTGAGCAGAGAGAGCGGAGGAAGAGAAAACCTCCTACACACACAGAGCTGACCAACACACTGTGATGACGAGGAATCACATCTCCCGGACACAATGAAGACTAAAACATTCAATAGATCACCTAGACATTTCAGGAAATTAAAACATCTCCTTTGCAAACCAAAATCAATTTTCACCAGACTGCGGTATTGTCAGCAATAATAAAAGAAATGATATATCCCACAATAGTTCCCACAGCACAGTTTTCCCCCCACACACAAACAGCATTAGATATCAATACCTTGAGCTTTCTTTTAAGCAAGGGATGGCTGTCGAATTGACTGGCTGTTACATAAATCTGTCAAAATGTTTCTTGAAAGACAAAAAAAAATGTAGTGATGCACACATTCATTTCAGGACTTGGAAACCGAATGTCTCACAGGGGGGCGATGCTCAGTAGGAGAAATGAAATTTAAAAATAATCTAATAATAACAAATTAAAACGTAATTTCTGTTAAAAAGCCAAATAGATAACTGTTGTGCAATGAAATATAGTGTCACTAACCGACGAGGAAACACGCATGGGCAGTGCTTTTACATAGTTTATTCATGGAAAGAACAGCCAGAAAGGGGAAACTGGTGGATTTGTGCCAAATATTAGCATCATTGACCCATAACAATGTACTGTAAGGTACCTATTACTTTCAGTATGTTTATGTGCTCTTTATAAATTAATGAAAAACAGCTGCAGGTAAAGTATATTGATCGCAAGTGCTCAGTTTGAGATCATATCTCGGTTTTGTTCTCTTGATTTGTAATTAAAATATTCGTAGCTTGAAACAGATGAAAATATGAAGTTCAGTAAAGTTAGCAACACAGGGTTCAACGCTAAGGATTTTTTATACGGGTCTGATCGGGCTAGTGGTTGAGATTTTTACTTGCCCTGCCAAAATTTTCACTGGCCCCACCAAAAAAACTAAAAAGTTAATAGCTATTTCTTAGCCACATATTATAAATTGTGACAAAATTATGCCTGTGAATCTAGAATTGAAACATTTTAAATATGTTAATAAATGTATGATGAGCAAAATTCAAGATTTTATGCAAATGAAAGAGCAGTATGAAAAATGTGCTGGTATTTTAATTCAATTCTAAATAATTTTGATAAAAATGGCTTGCCAAACTGACAACTGTTTTTTTTTTTTTCAGTTTCTTAAATTTGTACCCATGTAATTGTCTGCTTCTAAGACTTTAGAAACATACGTTTTCTTTTAGCCTCATTG